AGAGCGTCGATTGGCTGCTCAAGTACCAGAGTTTAGGATCCGAGAAGCAGAAAGAGATCAGAAACAACATGAGAAAGACTCACCTGCTCTCATCGTTTACGACATAAATCTCGGGTAACAAGGGGAATTCTTCGAGACAGCAGGGGCTATTATCTTCGAGAACCAATCCCTCAGAACGTTCTGTGCGGAAAAAAAAAAAGAAGTATACGAACGAGGTTTAGTCAAGCATTTCGAAGACAGATCTTAAACGAAACGGATAAAAAGAACAATGGAATCAATACTATACAAGTATCTGTTCCAAACTCAGATACAGAAGCAACCTCAAAAATTCACCATACAGAATAAAGTCACGGAAGATTATGACAGAAACAGCTAAACCTGGCAAAACATTTTTACATTCAAATACATAGCCACACATGAAAGATGCTTCTTCGAAGATAAAGGGCAGCCCGGTGCACAAAGCGTCCCCATTGAGCGGGGTCCGGAGAAGGATTCCACCACAAGGGTGTATTGTAGGCAACCCTTACCTTGCAGAATATGCTTCTTCGAAGATCACAACCCATAAATCCGAATTAAACGTTGAGCTAAGCCAAATCAGATGATTAGCCGATTAAAGACGCGGCTAACAATCCCCATAAACACTTTCCAATCCAATTCTTCATGCCACGGCAAAGGTTAGGCTGAATGAATGCATAGAAGGGTTTTAGCCTAAATGGGTAAATAGTAATACTCGGCTGAGTACCTTGGAACCTGGATAGGAGCTACAGTCAGAACCGATGCAAGAAGAAAGGCTAATGATTTTTTGCAACCGAACCCATGATTATCCAACTAATCATAAACTAATCCATAGTTACAGAACAAAAGTTAATGGTACGTGTGGAAAAGATTGATCCGAGACCAAAAACAATAGGCAAAGGCGGAATCTTTAGGATTGTCGCAGAAGAGACAAAGGACAAAAAAAAAGTAGGAAACTTTAAAAACCTTTTGCAAAGCTTACACGAGCTTTTGTTCAAACAGCTGCAGGGCAATCAAATCAAATCAATTTTTTTAAATAAAAACAACAGATAAAACGATTGGGTTTTCCAGGACAGAAGAAGAATATAGAACTGGTGAACCCAGAAAAGCAAATACCCATATGGATTTCAATATATTAACTATACAATCACACCAGTGCCCTAATAAAAGCAAATCAAGCCATGGGAATATCAGAAATGAAGTCAGATCTCAGAGAAAAGTGCAAAAAAAAAAAACTTTTTTTTTAGTAACTTAAACTGAAAACGAGAGAATTAGGCTAAACCATGAATCCAAGATTAAGAATTCAGAGGACAATCTTTCAGATAGCGGTGCATAAGAAGAAAAGGAAGAGACCCTTACTTTATCAGCTAAAAGATACTGAACTTCGTCAACAGGGCATGGCCTCCCGCAGATTCTCAACCTAAAATCTGCTCCCAAACCGTAAATTTTACAGACATCTTAGAAAGCAAAACATGGGTTTAAATCGCAATAGGTCAAAGGAGGAAACAGAATTTGGATCATAAATTGAAGAAGAAAAAAAAGCTTGAATAGCCCACCACCTAGAAAACAAAAGCCAGAGCCTGATGCTTTGTTTTACTGTTTCTTGAGAGAGAATGCAAAAGAAAAAAAAAAGAAAACCCTCTGATTCAAAAAGGATATTGAAGGGTCTAATAATATCACTTTCTCTGCAATTAATATTTGCACAGACAGAGGAATCAGTAAAACAAAAGGGTGCAAGTGTAACCTCTTTCTTCTTTATTGCCCTTTGCTTTCGCATTTAATTACCAGCCGAGCTCGCAACCCCAAAAATCCCCATCCATGGAAACCAAATTAAAAACACCACAAGGAAACGCCAGTGTTCTTCAGTGAATCAAAAACAGAAACTTCCGAGTGCAAGTAATTTACTTTCCCGGAAAAGGAACAAACTTTCCCGATTGGTTTTCCTCCATTTACCAGCCAAACAACCCCACCCCACCCCACCCAAGGAAAACAAGGAAGAAACTGTAGCAAGAACAGCAAATGCGATTACCTCGCCTCCTCCTCGCTGATCTTTCTCTTTAAAACATCTGACTTTACCGGAAAAGCTGTAAACTTTCTCGGAAAATCGAAAACCCTTCACGGTCACCAGATCAGCAGCCAAAACCCGCAACCCCCCCCCCCCCCCCTC